CAATTAAAGAATTTAGGCTCATATAAAACACTTAGGTTGAAATAAAGCATTTAGGTCCAACTAAAATATGTGGGTCCACTTAATGCATATAGGTCCAAACAAAGCATTTAGGTCCAACTATAGCATTTATGCTTGTCTAAAATATTTAGGTTTAATTAAAGCATTTATGTCAAATAAAGCATCCTGGTCCAAATAAAGTATTTGCTAAAGGTCCAACTAAAGCAAATTCGTCAAAATAAACCATTTAACTAAAGCTTATATGTCCAACTATAGATTTTACGTCCAACCAGTGACCTAAGTTAATTAAGTCAGTAAAATCATATTTAAATCCTTTTTTTTAATACAGCGTATATTATATAATATATGTGTGTTATGTATAGTGTATGATTATATTCTGTGGGTTGTGATGGGTCCAGCATTTATATACAATAAGTCCACTCTAGATCTGTTATCTCCACTTTAAATGGGTACTTTAGACCAATTGGGACCAATAAAGTATTTTCTGTAATCTTGTATCTGATATATCAGAAGAATTATTACAGTCCATAAACAGCTAATCTCACACATATCTGACCTCTGGACCGTTTGATTGTTTCATCAGAGCAGGATTAGGTGCCGCCTCACTGCTGACTGTAAGATTTTTGTCTCTTATTTGTGTTAAGACGGCAGTTCTGGACGATGAGACGGCCGACATGTTCAAGAAAGAGCTGATTGCTCGGATGGAGTTGTTGGAGGGGTTTCAGATCGGACTCATAGTGGTTGGCTTAATCTTATTTGCCAGCTGTTTGATCGGATTGATTGTGGTGTGCACGAAACCGAACAATAACAAACTTTCTTTGGTGGTTAAATAAATGGAGGGATGTTGGTGCTTTGCGTGTTTGATTTTTGATATCGCATTTTGTCGGAATTGTATATTGTAATTGTTATTTGCGCTCAGAGTGCTGCAATTCTATTTAGATAATTTATAAACTCTGCATTTTTGTGGAGCAAAATGATTTCTTTCTGTAACTTGATATTGTATCAAGTCATACTTTCAAAGTTATCAGAGCGAATATTCTGCCATTTTGTGGTCATACTGTGGTTGATTTAAATATGAAATAGTTTTGTATGTCAGAACAATTTCAGTAAAATGAAGAACTGTGAAACTTGGCCTCATTGTTATTTTTGATTTTCTGGTTGTTGTCTTTTTTTTTTCTATACACTTTGCGTAGTTGTTGCCTTCAACATATCTCAAATCACATATCAACTTTTGCCTTCTCATGCGCAAGAACAAGCACCAGACTGAGAAACAGAAGAAATTCTGGAACAGATTTCCTTGTTATACCTTGTAAATCCATATGACTTATTTTCCATTCTCCAATGGCTGCTAAATCAGAATGGGAGGTTTTGTAGAATAAGAGGCTTGGGTTGAGTGGGAAACAGGGGTTTGTTTAATATGAAAGTAGACCTGGGAGCGACCCCGTCTTCTGGTTTATGAATTATAAAACACAACTGGTCATCTCCGACTGCTGCTTTTTTGCTTTGGTTTGACCCATGGGTTTTAAACAGCTAAAGGCCCGAGTAAACAACATGTAGGTTTATAATCTACTTTGGAATAAAGCCTTGGTGACAAATGTTCATTCTGCTAACATGGAAATATACACAATTGTTCATAAATAATGACATTCCAACAACTCCAACCAGTCATAAGGGTCAATTTTTCAAAATTGAGATTTATACATCATCCGAAAGCTGAATAAATAAGCTTTCCATTGATGTATGGTTTGTACATACATCACTATTTTTGCAATATTACAACTATTTGAAAATGTGGAATCTGAGGGTGCAAAAAAATCTAAATATTGAGAATATCGCCTTTAAAGTTGTCCAAATGAAGTCCTTAGCAATGCATATTACTAATCAAAAATTAAGTTTTGATATATTTACGGTAGGAAATTTACAAAATATCTTCATGGAACATGATCTTTACTTAATATCCTAATGATTTTTGGCATAAAAGAAAAATCAATAATTTTGACCCATACAATGTATTTTTGGCTATTGCTACAAATATACCCCAGCGACTTAAGACTGCTTTTGTGGTCCAGGGTCACATATAAGCTCATATTATGATGCATTATAAAAAGGGTTTATTGGTCATCATTATTGTATAGTTAAAGCAGGCCATAAATACAACATACAAAAACAGCATATAGGCCTTTATTAATAATTTCATTAGTCTGATGCTTCATGTCGTGGCCACATCACCACCTCGGATCATTATTTTCTAATAATTCTATGGGCCATCGTCAATTATTCCTTACTAAAATGAAACCAATGTAATCCTGATAGTACTCCCATTTTTTACAAAATATAACTGTAATCTGATAACTTTGTTTTCTGACGTAACTGTAACGAATTACAGTTACCAGTTTTTGTATCCTGATTACGTAATGCCGTTACATGTATTCCGTTACTCCCCAACCCTGTATGTATGTATATATATATATAGTCATGGCAGTGACAGACATGGCATATATATATAGTCATGGCAATGCCAAGTTTTGGCAGTGACATAAATTTTGTGTTTTGCAAAGTTTGCTGCTTAAGCTGTTGTGGTGTTCATTCACATTGTTTCTAGATTATTGTGTAGAGTAATCAGATGCATTTTAAATAATTGCTAAAAGCTTCATTGGCCAAGAAATTCACTGTTTTTTGATCCTGACACAAAATGACCAGCTAACATCAACTGACTAATCATCATATCAGCAGCACATGTGAAAGTGTGAATAAGTACTAGTCAGGTTAATCACTATCATACTAATTAGATTGTAAGAGCAGACTGATTGCTATAAAAGGAGGGAAGAAGCACTTCCAATCATTGTGTTCTTGTTAGCAATGGTTACCTCCAAAGAAACACGTGCAGTCATCATTGCTTTGCATCAAAATGGCCTCACGTGCAAGGAAATTGCTGCAAAGAATATTGCACCTGAAAGAACCATTTACCGGATCATCAAGAACTTCAAGGAGAGAGGTTCGACTGCAGTGAAGAAGTCTTCAGGACGTCCCAGAGGGCAAGTGCCAGGACGTCTCCTCCTGAGGAGTCCGCTACGGAATTGTGTCACCACCAGTGCAGAGCTTGCTCAGGAATGGCAGCACGCAGCAGGTTGGTGAGAGCATCTGCAGCTTTATATGCTCGAATAGCAGCGTAAACAAGACCATGAGGATTCAATCGTCGCATCATGCACCTGCAGC